CTATATTTCTCCTTCCACCTCTAATCCTTTGTCCTTTATGTCAGCAGGTAAAAGATCATTTTTAAAGAAAAAGTTAAAATTATAGCTCTCATACAAATATAAATGAACACATCAAAAATTTATTTAACTCATTAATTTATGACAAAACTGGTAAGTTGTTACAGTTGGTTCAGTGAAGAACTGTTTTAAAAAAACATATATATTGTCAATCATCAAAGTTGAAATGAATTTACAAAGAGATACAAAACTGGTCAGTATCCACAGAACACTAATCAATTACATCTCCACTGGACACAATTTAGATATTTATGGACAAGAATAATTTGCAATATTATCAGTAGTCTACACATTACAGAATTGCAAAGAAAATGTAAGTGGAGATAACCCTGAAAGGTATGCGAGATAAGACACCCAATGATCTTTTTGTCCATTTCAAAGTCTTTCACAGCTTTTCCTGAAATACTTTCTCTGGCTCCTGAAATCCATTTCATGAAAGTGTTTTTCATTGTTGTCTTCCCCTTCTTTTTTTTATTTTACCCTCATTTTATTTTACACTGTGCTTAACATCTCAACAGTGTAACAACTTCAAGTTGTAATTTCACCTTTCCAACTGCTTATTAAAACAATTCCACCTAAAGTTTTTCTTTAGAACCTCAAACTTACTGTTTCAAAGTAGAACTACCAAACTTCCCACTGAACCTTTTTCTTCTCTGTTACCAATTTCGACTAAGAGGACCTCACTTTTTCTGATCACAAAGATCTCAAATCTTGGAGTCATTGTTGATATCTCTTTATTTTCCTTCACACTGAATAAACACTGTACATGCTTCTTTAAGAACGTTTCTAGAATCCACTCTCTGATTTCCATACTATTTGCCGTATGTATATTGCATAATGGTTCTGCATAATGTATATGGCATAAGGTTTTTTAACCTGAATTTTCCCAGCTATGTCTAGCGTGGCCCTGCACCTCTACAAAGTACTTGTTATACTGGCAGAATACTATAGGGTCAGCATAAAAGTACCATTCTAACAATATGTGCACTGTTTCATGGACTTTGTGTCCTGGACTGATCAGTCTGACTTACCCCAAATACTGCTTTTTCCATTCTTTTCACACCCTTAACTATAAGCAATTAACTATAAGCAATTGCCCACGTAGTACATTTACATCATCCTATGAGCTCATGGAGTCCCTGGGTGATGTAAACAGTGAATGGGTTCAGCTATTAGCCAAGATTGGAGGTCCAGGTCCACCAAAAGATGCTGCAGCAGGTCTGCAGGCCGACTTCTGAAAAATTGGCCATTTAAAACCTCACAGATCATAGTTTTACTTTAACACACATGAGGTCACCAGGATTTGGAATCTACATGATGGTGTTTGGTTTTTGGATCAGCCCGTAAGCAGTTCTACTCCAAGACTTTCAACTTTGCCTTCTTTTCTCCAATAATTTTCTCTTTCTTATCCTCCAGTTTTTAAGTTGCTATGCTCACCTACTTTGGTCATGTTGTCAGAAGTGACCAGTCCCTAGAGAAGGATATCATGGTTGATCGAGTACAGAATCTGAAAAGGGAAGACCCTCAACGAGATGGATTGACACAGTGGCTGCAACAATGGGCTCACGCATAGCAAGGATCATGAGGATGGCACAGGACTGGGCAGTAATTTATTCTGTTGTACATGGGGTCTCTATTGAGTTGGAGCTGACAGCGATGGCACCTAACAACAACAACAACAACATGCATTTATTCAGCTGTGGAGATAAAGAAGTCATAGCCCTCTGTTTAGGTTGGCAACTCTTGTTCTCATCTTTGCTCACTGTTTATTCATACAGTCCAGAAAGTTATATAATATCCTGAGGAGCATAATTCCAAATCCTTGCCTTAGCTTTACTCCTGGCCTTTTACAAATTTCTTTGGACAGTGGGGACAGAGATCCTGATTTTAGGGCTTTCCTATGTCTATGAATACTTGATGAATGTTAACATTCTAGGTGGTAGTTTTTGCTGCTAAGTGGAGGAGACTTATCTGTCTACAAACTAGGATGAAAAAGACCATTCTGGCATCCAATCTTTTGATACAGGTTCTGAAGCTCTGTATTGTGACTGTTTAAAAACTTACCAATTAAAATGATGATAAAATAATCAAACTGAGATGCATTGTTTTCTCTTAAATTTTAAGAAACCTATTATAAATTTATACTAGCTTTTCATTATCCAAAATCAACCTGTGTGTCTTCTTGTGTGACAAAGCTTTAGCGTATTATTACTTCTTGTCTTTTGAAGAACTTCCTTTAAGGTTTTATTGAAATTGTATGGATGTTTCTTTGGTTTTTGCTTTTTCCCAGTTGCTACTATTTTTTGTATTATGTCTCTTTTTGTTTAATTTTTCTTATTTAATTATTGCACGAATAATTTAATAACCATATATATATAAATGTTTGGAATAACTTTAAATTTTATTTCTATTTCTTGTACCCTTTGTTTTCCTCTTTCTTAGATTAATTTTGCTGGAGTACATCCTCAGGTAATTTATTTCAGAGACTGTTGACGAAAACTTTCTAGCTCTTTTCCTATTAAAAAAATACCTTTTATTTTCCTTTTATTTTTGCATAATAAACTAGTTGTTCATAGGGTACGAAGTTTACATTTTCTTTTCCCTCGGCATTTTGTAAATGTTTTTACATTTTTTTCTAAAATTCATGTCACAGGTGATAAGCCAATCTGATTCTAGTTCTCTTATAGGTAGCCCATAAATAATTGAATTTGTTTTTATTTTTCAAAAAGGCTTTATGAATTTTTCTTTGTTTATAGAGTTCTGAAACTTTACAAGACTATGCCTAATTCTGGATCTGTTTTCCAACATTTCAATAATACACTCAGTGGGCCATTTCATTATGATGACAGCTTTTTCTCAGTTTAGCAAAATTATTTTATTCAATTTTATTCTCCTCTGTCCACTCTATGATCTCTATATGGAACTTAACTTTGACAGATATTGAACCTTTTATGTCTATACTACATACCTCTTAGCTTTTCTCTCATCTTTCTTGCTTTTTTTTTTTTTTTTTTTT